ACTTGGGAGAGGCAGTGCTACAAGGGGAAAAGCTGCCTTGAGGGATCTCTCTGTGCTTTTCAGACAATGTATTCACTGATTTAATATTTCAGTTCTAGTGCATGCTGAACTTGTAGAGGATGAATTCAAACATCAGCAATAGCTGCCATCATGACCTAAACAGAACCCAGAAGAGGAAAAACTAGACTGGGAACATGAGAAGCTGGTGTGAACTGCGTCAGGCTGTTGGGCCATCTAGCCTGGTATTGCCTGCCGGGCTGACAGTGACTCCCCAGGTCTCAAGCTGAGGTAGTTCCCATCACCTGCTGCCTAATCCTTTCAACCTACAATGCCAGGGACTGAAGCCTGGGAGCTTTTGCATGCGGATGGTGCTGTGCCACTGAGCTAGGCCATACGGACAGCCAGGAATGCCAGTCAAATCCATACATCTCCAGTTGCTGCGCATTTCACCATCATGGGGACACACTGCAAATGGGTCATCTTTTTTCATAGGCAAAAGAGACAGTGGCTAAAACACTTGATGACAAGCAACCCTGAATGCTTTCCATGGTGTGCTTGACAGACAATCCAGTGCTTCCTCTGCTAGCGACCACCACCCTCCTTGCACCATCCTCCCACTGTCAGAACAACTCCCATCATCCAGCACATCTGAAATCCAATCGTGCTGGATGGCTAGCAGGCAGTTCCTGCAGTTGCCACTCTTTAAAATAATTATCTAGACTATTTAAAGCCTGCCCTTCCTAAACACAAATCTTTAAAGTGACTAACAGTACCTATCTGCTAAATCCTAGTCCCCAGACATGCTCCAACATGAGGGGAAATGTAGCCCTGGAAGTGGCTTAAATTATTCCCTTCCCATTTGCCTTTTGCCACGCCAGCATGAGTTCAGCAGAGCTTTGGATAATACCATTCACCCGCCTTAAGATCTCTCCACAAGGATTGCTCTGCAAAACAGAATAGAAGCTGTCTATCCTTACTGTGAGGCTTTTCAAATTACCCCTTGTCCAAATCTTTTGAAATATACTATCAGTTTTGTGTGGGAGTGCCATTCCCCTGGAGAGTTCCACCTGACCATCCAATCTCACTTTCCAAAACTGGTGCCTACGTACGGATGTGGAGGTGGTACAGTTTCCTTTGAAGTGTTCTCAGAGTACAGCCAATTATTTCATCTCCCTTTTCCTGGGCCTGTTCCTTTTGGGGTAGGAGAAATGCATCCTTTATTAGCCTTGATGATTGTGGCTGGCAAAGGACCTCAGATGTGGAATCACTGGACATTCCAGGGCACTTAGGAAGTCCCAACATCCTAGCTTCACCCACAAATTCTGGCCCACCCCTGGCTGGAGAAATTTCCTGTCCACAGAGTTCAGGATCCAAAACAGGGCATGTGCATGTGTGTGAAGAACTTCTGGATGATGCAGCCCCTCTTGCAGAGCTCTTGCACTGGTAAGGAAGGGGGCGCTGGACTCAAATTCCCACTCAGTCCTGAAATTCCCCGGGTAGCCTTAAGTTTCCTGGAAAGTCACCTTCCTATGGGGTTGCTGCGTAGATTAAAAGTTAGCCCCCTATATGTCACCCTGCATTTCTTAAGATGAAAGGACAAAGCACAAAGGTGCAATGTCTTTACTGATGGTAAACAGCCAGCATTAGATATTGCCCACTGGAACTTTAAGACTGGTGTCTCAGTTTGATTGTTTTCCCCATCTCCCCATCTTCTGAGTTTCCCCTTCTTCTCAGGACTTGTCTTTAGGGACCGCTTGTTCTGGATCATATCAATCTTATCTAAGCTGCTCTGGAAACCTTTTGGCTGAGGGTAGCTGTGTGTGTGTGGGGGGGGGAGGAGAGAGGAAGCGGGGGGGGCAGAGAGAAAGAGGGAGAGGGCCAATCCTGCACATAATCATGACCTGCTACTTCAATAGTACAATCCTCGAGGCATTGTTTTTATATTTGCTTTAGCTGTCTTTTCACTTCTTGCTTGTCAGTCCTTGATTTTTCACCATCTCAGTCACACTGTTTAAATAAATGCTGGATAGTAGCAGTAATGGAAAATTGTAGGCTAAACTAGTAGTGGTCAGAAAGTAGTTCTTCAGACGTTTGGAATTTGGATATTGGATGTTTGGGATTTCAACCAAATTCTTGCCAAGGTGACCAATGGTCAGGAATGTTGGAAGATGGGTGTCCACAACATTTTGAGATATACTTTACGCCCACCCGTGGCCTAAACCAGCCGTCCCGAACCTGTTGCCCTCAAAATGTGACGGATGGTCAGTCCCAGTATCTCCATCCCAAAGTCCTCCATCCAGGACATAGTCCAACACAACTGGATGGCAACAGATGGGGAAGGATGTCCTAAACCACAATGTGCTGGAATACTTTCCATCACAGGGGAATACTGTGCAAGTTTACTCAGAAGTAAGTCTTACCATGTTCCATGAAGCTTATTCTCAGGTAAGTGCAGATATAAAGAGAGTGAGAGAGTGTGGCATCCTGGTTAAGAGTGTGGGCCTGGAATTGAGAAGAGCTGGGTTCTAGTCACTGTTCAGCCATGGAACCAACTGGGTAACTTTGGGCCAGTCACAGACTTTCAGCCCAATCAACCTCACAGGGCAGGGATAAGACCGAAAGGGGGAAGAGAATTATGTAAGCTATCTCCAGAGGAAAAGGGTGGGATTCAAATGAATGAATGGATACTGCCTGCAACAAGTAACTTTAAAATTCTGCACGTGTTCTTTGTGTAAACCACTGGCACTTTTTGCTCCACACAATCATGCACTGGGGTTCATGATCACAAAAATATTTTTTTAACAGCCTGAGGTGGTCTTTACTCTTACTTCCTTTATTATACTTAAATGAATAGTAATAAGCAATGTACATAACCCTGAAGTTAATCCTTGTACATTTTCTGAAAGGGATTGCATTAAATGCCAATGTTTAAGGTTTATCCATAATAATTTCCAGGAGGATCTATAGAGATTTCCTGATATGATTACGGGATAATTCTGATGCAATTCCCACCACCATCACCATAGAATAATACATGTGAAAATGCTGTATTTGGTGTTCAATATCCTCATGAAGTTTTAAAGACCAGATCAGAGGGGAATATAAGCAAGAGACCATGTTTTCGGCATAAGTATTCCTACATGCAAAGAAAAATGATGTGCTGAAATCATCCTGTAGAAGCCTTCAAGGCTATGAGCATTCCAGGAAAATCTGTAGCAGAGCTGCATGTTTGTCCATCTGCTCTTTAAACCGGAGCAGATGCTTAAATTTATAGGTATGTTGCTCTTGGACGTTGTGCATGGGTTGACTCTTGCCCTGCTTCCCTGGATAAGAATTATGCAGTGTATAAGATGATTCCTTTTATCAGACCATTGTTGCTGCTGACTGCTTAGATTCTTTGCCATCAGCAAACTTGTTCCAGTATGAGGATTTGGAATCTGGTACTTTGTTATGCCATCGTTAGTCCTGTTTATTTAAAGATGTTCCCCATATGAAATGGTACTGGGTGCAAACCTTCTTTGGCTTTTAACACAAAGACTGGAATTCACCAAGAACTGCACTGTTCCCTTTCAAGAAACCTTGATGGAACTATGTCACAGTCGTAGTTTGATTAATGAATCCTGCAGAGTATTAGGGATTTGGGGTTGTTCCTTACGATGATGCAAAATTTCAGATTCTAAATTGAATTATTAAACAAAGAATTAGTTAACCCCTCTTTAAAAATAGCAGTATTCTCAGTTGATGCAAATTTGGTCTGTAAATGTAAAAAGCAGAAGAAATAGCTCAGTAAAATGATGTGAACCAGCTTTGCCAATGGAAGTGGCTATAAGTGGTCATCACATCAGCAACATTGGTTCAATAAAACAAATAATCTAAATCATTGTATAGCTCTTATCCAGGGGAAGTACAGCAAGAATCAACCCATGTGCAAAGCCCAAGAGCAAGGTACCTCTAAGGTTAAGCATATGCTCTTGAATTAAGCAGCAGATGGACAAACTTTGCAGCTTTAATATAGATTTTCCTGGAATGCTTGTGTATCAAAGGCTATCCATGACTTTAAATGATCTGGCTTCCAAGGGGCATGCTAAAGAAAACACAACCAATAAAAAGATGAAGGTCATAGTCTTTCCATTTAATGAAATGGATTAACCCATCTTTGTGTATAAGGTCTTAGTGAGGGCAAGAGAATTATAAAATGCAAGAGTCACTGGATGACATAACTCAACACAAAGATGAATAATATATTCAGGATTGCTTGACAGTTTTTGGAAGATTATGTTTTCTAATTTAAACTATTCATTGAGCTTCTGTCCCATTCAGTCTCTTCAGCTTTCGTTGTCTTATCGTCAGAAAAAAGAATTAAAAATTGCCAAGTAATTTGCCAAAAGATGTAGATTTTTTTTTAAACACACACACAGACCAGTGCCCATATTAAGATGTTTAAATACCTAAATAAAATTAGATATTTTACAATAAACAAACAGGCAGCAATGTTTTGCACATTGACTGGAGAACAAGCCTCACTGGATTAAGCAGTACTTCCGTCTAAGTAAACATTCTCATGTTCAGGCTGAATATTCTGAAACTTCAACTTACCAGGTCTTTTCTAAATATTAAAATAAAGTCTATATTCCCTTCCACAGTCTTTGGACTCAATGAAATTAGCTCCACTGACTTAGTGTGAGCCATTCCAGATTGTGCAGCTGCAAATGCAACTGCTTGTGCCTGGGAACGAATTCAACAACATTATCTTTTAAAACCATTGGAAACCTGGTTGGTTACATTCGTTCTCACAGCAACAAAGAAAGCAATTTAGAATTATCCAGGGAGGCAAGTTTCCCAGTTTATCACCCCGATAACTGTAGTACGTGCACTTGTCAAACAGATGGTGTGTAGCAGAACATAGCTCTTGCAGAATTACATTTACCATGTATTTTCTTGGCGAAAATATAGTGAGAGCTGAGAGAAAGATAATCTCACTTTGTCAAGTCCTTTCTTACCTTGCTTTCTGTATTTCTACTTGTCCTGCCCACCTCCTCCTCCGGTGCTTCCTGCTCTCCGCAAGAAGGACCAAGCAAAGGATCAGGAACATGAGTTTTGCAAAATAAGGCATTCTGTGGAAATCACTGCTCCAACTCTCCTCCAGTCCTGCAGCCTCCAGCTGTGTTAGCACCCCCTGGTTTAAGCACTGAATCAGCTGCATGTCCAGCACCTTGCCTCTAGCAGAGTGTCCATGGCTAGAAATGCTGCGTTTCTGATTTAATATTTTAAACCCGCTTTTCAGGGCTTCCTACTCACAGCTCTTCTTCTCTTGCTGCTCAGCGATTGGCCATTACTCAAGAAGAAGTTAGTCTGATCAGGCAACATTTCCACTGGGTCCTAACTTAGTGCTTTTGTGGAAAGCAGCCTATGGATAGAAAGAATGCCGCTCCATCTGCCAGGTTTTTGTTCAAACTGCTAATCTGAGCACTGTATCCGCCTTCTGTCAGACTATGAAAACCAGACCTCTTCTTTTCATTAGGGATGCCATGAATGAGGAATTGGTATCTATACATTTAAGATACACCAAACTTAGCAGAGAGGCACACTTAGCAGGATTGCTGCTCTGAATCTTGCCATCCTCTTGCGATACAGTTCACAGACAGGCGATGAAGATGAGAAAATGTCAGCTATTTAAAATAGCCTGTGTAATGTACACACAGGATTTTCTCAGTTGAAGTTGTTTGCTCTCGTTTCCAAACATTACACATACATTATTTTATCCATTGTTACAGCAACCACAGCAGGTAAGCCATTATTATTATCCCCAGAAATGGGGTCCTGCAACCACCTGTTACAGGAGTGCTTCAGTTCAGGGTTCCAGCCACTTGGTCCCATTCTTCTTCCCACCTGATTCTCCTCACTCCAGCAGTCAGTGTTCTGGATCCAGTGTGCACGCTCATTCCTCACTGGCCCAGTTCCTTCTCTATTTTTGAGGGGTGGGCATGAATGTCTGCAAACCTTGTGATAATCCCGATCCAGCAAATACTGCGATCTTGTATGCAATTTCAGCATTTGTGCATTTAGCATATTCAGTTCCATGAGCGCAGGCAAAGGAATAGATATTGCAGAAGGGAGACTGAGGCTGGCTTGTCCAAGACCACCCAGTAAAATAACTGTGCAGGAAAAAATTGACTTGGAAATTGCAAGATACACATTTCATATCCTTCACTGTATCAGCTCTCAGGACCTCAACTTGTAAATGAGTTACAGTGGTATCTTATGGCAATTTGAATATTTTTAAAAAGATGTCAGGTATGTTCCAAACCAATGTGTGAGTCAGGCAGTGCTCCTTTATATATAGCTCCATGCAAGGAGTGAAATCAGTAAACAAAACTATTTGGGTTAATGAAGTTTGAATATTCATATTGTCATGGCTTCTATATTAGTAAGTTATCTTTCCTCCCTACCAAGATATATAACTTTAAGGACATATCTTTGAACCTCACTGCTTTAAGGACTATTTGTACTTAATCTGAACATTTTACCTAATCTTTGAGTAACAGTGCAATGGGTACTCACACCATCCCTTCTCCACACCCCATTTTACATGCTTACCCCTGCAAGCAGTCATCCAACATTCTGTGCATATTTAGCAAGCTTTAGTTTCCTTTCACTGTTTGGAGGATTTCTCTCCTGGGAATCTTCTGCACCTCAGCAAATTTCTCAAGCCTGTTCATACCTCCCACTTGTGTGTGGATGTTGACATGTTAGTTACAGAAGGACCAGCACTCAAAGAATCAGCCAGCTATTAATATATGAAATCATGTGCATGAAGATGTAATTTGAGCATGCACTATTCTCTTACATGAGAGACTCATTAGCTATTATGAAAGAGGAATACTGAAGCTTTTCTGCAAAAACCAGCAAAATCCATTCCCTCTTATATTCTCCTGCAGGTCTCCGTCAGATAGAAAAAATGGAATCATCAAACAAATGGAAATCTCTGTAAATCTGTAGATAGTTGTACATCTAATTCCTCCTTTTTACCATATCTTCTTTCTGCCTCTCAGCCCCTCCTCATATATTCTTTTTCTCTGCACATGTGTGCATGAGAGAGAGAGATTCCTGTTCAGATGGCTCCTTTCAGCTCAGCAATAGTATAAAAACGCTACAAGTAATTCCCTATCTGCTGTTAGTTATGGACACCCATTTCAGTGCTTATATTACTTATAGCAAACAGCTAGGACAATTCAAATACTGCAGTCTGTGTTTATCACTAGTTCCCCTACACCATGCCTTTGTTGAATTTATTCAACTCATAAATAGCTTAATTATGACGGGCATAATTGTGACCATACCCCATGGAACATATCCTGTGATACAGGCACTATTCTCACGTAAGCAGCAATGGCTACATGTGAGAAGGGAAAGGAAGCAGTTAGAAGTTAGATTTTCTTTTAAGCAACCAAGTTAGCATAGAAAGTAAGCTGAATGTAGGTAAATGAATTAGAACAAAACCAGAGAGTAATGAAATATAAACTACTTTTTCTGCAACACAGGAGTCACAGGACTCAAAAAGCAGCTTAGTCTTTGGTCGCTTTCTTGCTTTGCTTGTTTATCAAGCAATGGATAATAAGCTCTGTGTTTTTTAAGGAATACTGTATTTTTTAAAAAAGACAAGCAAGAAATCAAACAAAATACTTTATCCTGTGTCTACAGGTAAGTAGAAATCTTTTGTTTCCAGATACAATGTTAGCTATTTTATATTTTTATATGTATCTTGTACATTTTAAAATACAATAATATAGTATAGCCCTGTTAGCCTTCTGTTTACAGATTCAAGGGTTAAGTATAGCATTTGCCCATAGAAGCTGGTGAAGTAGGCTGTAACTCATGAGTTTATTAAAATATTAAATGAGTTTATTAACTCATGCTATTAAGATATCCGAAAAACTAAATGCTTCCCTTGAAATGTTAAAAAGTAAGTTATACTAAACTGGATCCCAAAAAGTACTCAAATAAAAGGACGTTCCTGTCCTCCTTTCTGCACTCCTGATCATAAATCACCACAAAAGCTGCCCTTTGTAATCAGGGTCCATGCTGGCAGAGGGGGAAATCAGTCAAAATTGTGCAAATATCAAAGAATGGCTTTGGAAAAGATGAAGGGGGTTGCAGTATACAGGAGATACAAGAGAGCTCTGCTGTGTAAATGGACTTCCATTCACACCCAGATTTGGATTTAAGCAACTGACTTATCAGTTCTATACATCCCAGTAATGATACAGCAATGCAGGCAGCCCTATTGTGGCAAACACTGAAAGACTGGTCACATTCTTGAAAGTATAATTCAAGAAATCAGCAGCATTCACGTTAAATAAATCAGAATTCTAGAGAATCTGATCCTGACTTATCGTTTGCAAGCAGAATGCTTGTGCATGCTGGCCAACTGCTCCTACTTAGCTATTCCTAAGAGGAGTGGATAAATAAACCAAGAACTCATCAGAAGTCAAAAGTCTGTGCTACATTTGAACTGGGTTTCCTGGTTGTCACTCCTCTAACAAGCCAGTATACGAAGCTGGGCTATGCAGCTGGTTTCCATTTCCTGATTTGTAGCAGGGTTCCAATAGAGGCTGGCATGAGCTGGGACAGAGCAATGGGAACTCACCCGTTGTGCAGATTCAAACTGGCGACCTTTTGATCAACCAGCCTAGCAGCACAGCAGTTTAAACCTCTGCGCCACCTGCATCCCTACACTCCAATAGAACACCAGCCCTCTTGCTGTTCAGTTCCTAATTTGAAATTTTTTGTCATTCCAGGTGATGGGAAAAGGCGATAGCCAGAATTCTGGCTTATCGTTACATACAAATGCAACCATGGTCACCATAACGGCTAATTTTCAGTACAGAAGAAAAAACTGCCTAATAGGTTGCTGGGGGCAAATGCATTCATGCTGCAGGAAAACTGCAGTTCTTTCCTTGCCAATCATTGGATATTAAACCATCAGAGCAAATTTGAATTAAACTCAAATTGTTTTTTGGCACTGCACTGGTTTCATGGATAACCTTATGAAAGCATATTTATTTTTTGGTGTTGAAAATGCTTTTAATTTTATGGGAACATAAAACAGACAATTTAAAGCATCATACATACTTCAGAAATAAGTCACAGTCAATAGGTGACAGGTAAATATTACATAGTTGGAACTATTTCCAAGATCTTCAACTTTTTTTAAAAAGCAAAATATACATAACTGAATATTAGAAAACGAAACTGAAATCTCTCAAAATATTATACTAATGCCTTGAAAATTAAAACAAGGAAAGCAAATTCTGTTCTGGCCCCTATTTTTCATGGAGGATACATTCCACAATTTCAGGGTTCCATCCCCTCATCAAATTTGTTGGGTAGGAAATGAATGTACTTACAAATATTAATAATTTCCTCTTCCTGCTGAAATTAACATTTTTATGCAAACATACTTTCATTTCAATTTAGGAAACACCTTCTCAGGTAAATAATTCACTCTATTAATATTTATTCATGCCAGCATAAAACCACAATTTTATGTCTCTGTCAGTTAAAATTACTCACCAAAGCTTACAAGTAATGTGTCCAATGCTCCCAGTCCTTAAATACCCTGCTAATGCAGAAATATTCTCTGCATAACTTCTCAAGGTATCTGTTCAGTTTGTATAGATTGTTAATAATCCATACACCCACCAATATCAAGGGGTACTTTCCTGGCAGACCTTAACGTACCCCTTAGTACATTAACATATGGACTTAAAATGAGTAAATACAAAAAGTAATCTTATGTAAACAGTCTTTGACATATCCAACATAGAACATTTTAATAAAGCATTCAAGTCATTGTTCTTAAGAATGAGAGAAACTCATAATTCAAATGTATACTCATTTGCTAGATAAATACGCCTAAATATAAGAGCTGCCAGTGCTAAAACAAGAAGGAGAATCAGCAGATTTGACCCAACATGGCTTGTGTGGACTCTTGGCTGTTGAACCTGATTGAAGTTGGCTGAAGTTGGCACCCTTCTCTGCTGCACACTCCGCTGGCGAGGGCTCACAGAAGTATTGCTTGAAGCAGGCTGGGCATGCTGCTCTTGACTAGAGGTGGATGAGTTGGTCTGATTCTCAGACTAAGAGGATAAAGTGGGAAAATTACATCTATCAGAATGGATTGCATAACATGATACAAAACTGCATTGTTTGGCAAAACCAGTGCTTGTTGGAGAAGAGAACAACCATCATCTTGCTTGAACGTGTTCCTCAAAATACTGCCAAAACTAGCATACTACCCTCAAGAACAGTAATTTAGCTGTATCAGAAAATATAACTGTTTTTAATGCAGCAGAGAGTACTAATAAATTAATCTCAATATTGGGAGGGGAAACCGAAAAGAACTGATCCTATTTGGGAAAAGCGAATGAAAATACCAGGGAAAGGCTCATAGCCTCAAGATAAAACCTAAAGCTTACTTTCTGTTTTCTTGTCAGATAAAATTCAGGGGTACATTGAGCAGTAAGACGGCAACTTGGCAAAATCCAACACTTTATCTGCTGGATGACAGTAACAATGAAGCAAATTTATTGTCAATTATCAGTTCTAGGCTTCAGCAAAATTCGCTAACCCTCACATTTTCTATATATTGTCTATTTTTTTGCACACCTTGGACTTCTCAAAAGATCTCGTAATGTGACCCTGCTTCTTCTTTTCTTCTGATAGGAGCATTTCATCTTAGCTTCAAACTTGAAATAACTTTTTAGTTAGAGCAGCTCAGCAAGATTAATGCTTTAAAAATAAGTTTTTTTTTAAAATCTGTATTCCTGAAGTTAAAGATTTGTCTGCTTATTTCAAATCAATGTCTGCATTCAGACCTGCCCTACCATAGTGTGATGTCAATAGTGCTAGTAGGAGCACACCACTGGAACTTTCATTGTCTGAATTTAATATACACTTCACAAAAAGATCACAAAGTGGGGAAAGAGACAACCATGAAAGTGACAGATTGAAATGTTCTATTGGCTTAGACAGTGTTGTCTGTGCAACTTAATTATCTTTAAAATGAGAAGTTGCATACAATATGTCTGAAATTTGGCAGCTCTGATGTTTGCAAATGTCATACCATTTGAAATTGATAAACACCAAAGTGGCAGGTAGCATATGATGAATCTTCCATTGAAACAAATGGAAAACAGACCACAACTTAATGAAACATGAAATGAAGCATTGTTTCTTCTTGTACCTCTCCTACTTTCAAGTTCTCAGTCCTCCTGCCTATTTGGCACTGCATCCATGCTACAGAAGTCAGAATATGTATGAATATTCTATGGATGGAACTGCAGCTCAGCCCAACAATATGAATGGTTTGGGAGTGCTCCTCGACTCAGAGTAGTCCTTGGGAGTCCCAGGTGACTACTGTGGCGAGGAGCGCTTTCCTTCAGCTTTGGTTCATCTACCAACTACGCCCTTACTTGAACGAGCAGAGCCTAGTGACGGTGACCCATGTCCTGGTAACCTCTTGACTGGACGCTCTACATGGGGCTGCCCTTGAAGATGGTCCAGATACTTCAATTGGTTCAGAACAGAGCAGCCAGAATGCCAACAGGGACCAGCAGATATACAAATGTAACACTGGTCCTTTATCATCTGCACCAGCTTCCAGTTGAAGTTTGGGCCCAATTTAAAGTGCTAGTGATGACTTATAAAGCCTTAAATAGCCTAGGACCTGGATATTTGAAGGAGCACCTCCTTCCATATATATCTGCCCGCCCTTTAAGTTCTGGATTGCAGGTCCTTCTTTGGGAGCCCTCTTTGAAGGAGATTAGGAGAGTGGCTACCTGGAGAAGGGCCTTCTCTGTGGTGGTGCCCTGGTTATGGAACATGCTCCCTAGAGGGGTATGCCTGGCACCAACACTTTTTTCATTTCAGTGCCAGGCCAAAACATTTTTATTTTCCCAATATTTTAAGTGTTAAGGTATTTTAAGATGGGGTTTTATTTGAATTTTGTGCTCTGATGCTGTACTTTCATTTCATTGTACTATCATTCTGGGACTTTTTAAGCATAGGGCGGTATATAAAAACTTTAATAAATCTTTACATGGCCATGATACAGAAAAATGAACGAGAAATCTTTTGCTTCAGAACCTCTAACAGATCTTTATAAGCTACATTCTGTCATGGTGGGAGGCACACATTAACACAGAAACAAACAGAGCTTCCTACCTTCTAGGCAAAGGGATGCTCGGAAATATGGTCTGTTTTTCAAACATATGTCGAATGAAGCATCAGACACACAGAGATCAACAATATCATCCCTTAAAATATTAATCTACTTTAGGCTGTTAATCATCTATCATTTGCAACAAATGGAAATAAATAAGTTAAAGCTTCTTTGTTTTATGTCTGGCACGCATTCTAAGGACTAAAGCATGAATAAAGTAAAATGAGAGTCCTTAGATAAAATCATGTCATCTAAAATGGGATTAATAAAATTACTTCTGACATTTTTTTTAACCTTCCCGGCAAAAATGGAGTGATTATTTCTGGTGAGTGAATGGATAGGCCTAAAAAACACCCATTCAATAACTATGATACTTGTGCATACACAACAAGTCAAACTATGCCACTTAATAATAATCATACAGGAAAAACTTTATTGGGGAAATCTGCATAATATTAGCATGCCTCTATTTCCAAATAGTTGTAAAAATACTCTTCACCAAGCAACAGATGGTCTGATGTGATTTGACATGATTTTTTTAACCAATCTGCAGTCCCATCAACCCTAAAAACACACACACAGCTTAACTGGGATTTGTCTACAATTTATCAGTGAATTTAGATTGCATCTACATCAGTGATAGCAGCAGCTGCCCTGTACCAATAGCTCAGTTACTTCCAATATGGATGGGTTATATAAGCAGTCTCCTTGGCCACATTAATATGTCATAATTAGGCAAGCAATTATTTTAAATAATCAGAATAAATACTTCCCTTTACTCAGTCAAATTTATTTCAGAGATTATGAACAAAAAGGAACCTGGTAAGCATTTTTAATGGAATAAAAGCTTGAAATAATTAAAGGGGACCTCTGTTTGCTTTGGTTTACATAAGTCTCTTGGACATAGGGCTAAAACAAGCATGACTGTGAACAGAAGTCTATACAGTTGTCAAATAAGTTACCTCTCTATATCATCCCCATTATGTTTCCAAAAGGTAGAATATTCAAGGCAAAGAAATATATTCTTTATTATAAGTGTGTTCAAACTTGCTTGTGATAAAAGGGCTGGTTCAGCAGCTGCTGCCCTATCTAAAGAAAGGTGATCTAGCCACAGCAAGGCTTGCCTTTCTTATGTTGAGGTTGAATTACTGTAATGCAATCTGTATGGGGCTACCCTTGAAGATTATTCAGAAACCATAACAGGTAGAGAATGCTGCAACGAGAATACCTATGGAGCTAGGCATTTGGATCATATTACTCCTATGCCATATCATTGACATGGAATGTCTAGACCTAATTGGTGCTGGTTTTGGCTTCAAAGCCCTAGGGGTGCAGTCTTATGTATGTTTACATAGAAAAAGGTCTTACAACTCCTAGCATACTCCAGCCAGAATGGAAAAATGCTGGGGTTGTAGGACTTTTTCCTGTCTAAAAATACATAGGATTGCACCCTAAAAGTTTTGGATGTTATGTGAAGAAATTCCTACACCTGTATGAGATGCATAAAGCATTAAGAAGCTCTGGTTCCTGGCACATCAGCTAGGGCCTTTAGGCTGGCAGAAGGGAGGAATAGGGTATTCACAATGGCAGCATTATACCTTTGGAATTGGATCTATCCTAGTCTGCATTTGGTGCTTAATTTTCTTTCTCTCTCTGTATAACTGTAATTGCATGTTCATGTTTTATAATATTGTAGACTGCCTTGTGTGGGCAAATCACCCTGAAAGACTAGCTTTAAGTCTTTTAATTAAATCAATAAATACTTGGGCAAAGAAAATAAATGAGCAAAGTGGTTACTACAATACCTGGTAAAAAATAGAAGAGGGAGGCTGAAAGCCTGTACATGTCTACTCAGTTCTAAGCTGCCTTTTAGGGGCAATGAAGCATACTTCCAAGGTAAGCATGCAAAGGATCACAAGCAAAGAAAACAACAGAAACATTCAAGAACAGTGGCAAGATTTGCCAAGAAAATAATGGCTGAGACTTTATAAACAGTGATGTTATTGAAATGCTAGTAAGTTTTTAAAAACTGATCTCTAGAAACATTTTTCCATGTCTTGATGTCCATTCAAATTTCTCAGGTTTATTAAACACCCACCGTTTCACTGGTGGTTGTGTCCTGGAATGCTGGAGTTGTAATTTCCTGTTGCTGTTCAGGTGAACTTGTCAAGTGGTTAAATTCTGATAACCCTGCAGGTTCAGCAACAGATTTCCTAGATGAATTAACTTCAGCCTTAAACAAAAGGATAATACACCACAAATTAGAATACCATATGGAAAATCAAAACTCTAATCAGGTATGTTATGTGATGCATCTTCTTATCTAAATTACTTATTCGGTACTTAACAGGTATACATGTAATGTTTAGAAATGTGAAGAAACAAATGAAATGGTGTGTGATACAGAAGCTTCAACTGAATGTAGGGCATCATAGGGAGAACAACATTCTATTCTCTTCTATGAGAAGGAAATTGTCTACATGTACAGAATGGCAGGTTATCATCCTGAAAGGTAAATGAGAACTCCTTGCATTCACGAAGCTCTGGACTACAGCTGTTATGCTTATATCGTTTTGGTCACCAAAAACTCAATGCAGCCATTAGTCAACAACCCAAGTTACTTTATGAATAGGTATAGTGGCTATTCATAGCACTGTACTTAAAGCATATATACAGAAAGCTTAAAACAGACTTTTAGGACTTTATGCACTTAAAAAAGTCAGAAACATCATTTAAAAAGTCCTATTCCTTATCTCAGGTTTAGTCTTATAATCTGGATTTTAACCAGGCACTTTTTCACTATGGAAAAAAAAATTAACCATTTGCACACCATTTACATTTTTTTAACAAAATGGTATTCAAAATTTTAAAACATATTTTATTCCTATCCCACATATTAATGACAAGGATTTTTTGTAAAAATAAAAAATAATTTGATAGACAGGAGCTGAGAGAGCACCTGGCAGTGAAAAGCGAATGACAAATTAACTCCATGATTAATAAAAAGAAAACAGTTATGCTACCTTGAAACTAATTTGCCTAGCAAGTTCCTTGGCCTCTTTGTCAGCTTGACTTGAGGCACTTCCAGATGTTAAGGGTAAAAGAGCTTCCTTCATAAGTGAACCACATCCTTCACAAGAGAAATCCTGAGACCTAGAAATTATTAGAAACATAATTGATTCAACTGGATCAGCAAAAGCAATTGCACTCAAGTAGTTACAGTGAATCTACACTTGCATAAGTTGAAGTAACCTACTTATCTGGGTGTTGGATAGAAATTAGAGTTACTACTGAACAGACATGAACAGGAATGCACAGTAAATAAAATATCTGAAGAAACAAATGCTGCAGGTGTTACAGAAATCAGAGGTACTACCAAACTCCACCACAGGTGGAACTTGAAAGTATATAATTGGGAGGTACAGCATTGTAACTTACAGAGGATAATGTGATCTTATATGATTCTGGAAGCTTCAGCAATGCAATACATTTTTCCAAACGTTTTTAGAAGACTCTTGAACTGCAGTGGCATGATAACATAGTAAAATTAAGTTTGACTGCGAAAGTAGGAATATTACAATGCTGAACAGATTCCAGAAGGAGCCATAATTTCAATAACTACTTGGATTAAAAAGCAGATCTGAACCTTTTCCAGAACAAAATCAGGTGGTTGACCTCTCTGTGCTAAACATTTTTGGAAAGTCATAGTGGTAAAGCCATATGTCAGGTACTAGCACTATCATACCAGTATCTTAATTCTTATTATTAAGAATAATGCTTAAAGCTAATTTGTTTCTACACAAAAAACAGCTGTGAATGTTAATTTACCCACAACACCAAAGGGTTCTACCTTTAGAAACAGGCTTCAACACAAAAACAAAACGCTTACTTCTTAGCAAGTGCTTTTCTTTCCTCAGGTGTGTAGTCTAGAGATCCTATGGCTCCCTCCCCTTTGGTTGGCATAAATCCAATGATGGCAAGCAAGGCAGTCCTTACTATAAGCAAAAAGAGAAGTATGCAGTAATTGGAAATCTCCCATTAAAGTACCAAATGAATATAGGTCCAATGCAATTTTTAGAAACCGAAAGAAATGCAAACTTGATCGATTTATGTCTCAGTATAAATATAATAATGTATCACAAAAATATAAATTCATAAATGTAAATAAAAATTACAAGGAAATACCTTCTGACCGTTGTAGTGCAGCAATTTATGCCTCCTTTATCAAGGCCCTTTCACTGCCAAAAACCATTGATACTTACTACTCCATGAAGGCTGCCATGTTTCAGGATGGTGTCCTGAGATGCTTAAGCAAATTTTCTTTCCAACTTCAAACCTGCCATTGGCCTTAAAGAGTCAGAGGAAGAAGAAAGAATCAAATTCTTTTCAAAACTCAACATTTCAATGCGAGTAGCTGGGAAACAGTACACTGATAGTGTAGTTAATAGTGTCTTGTGAGCAGTCAATAGCTAGTACATGCTATTGCCCAGAAGCTAGCTGAATGACACAGGAAGCCTTATCTATAGCAATAGGCATGTTAGTCAAACTCCGGTATCGTGGTTTCCCTTAAAAAATGAAGAGGCTACCACTAAAAGTTTCCCAGAACTGCCTTCAAATGCAAGCCAAGCCCAGTCTGGCATTATTATTCCTTGTCATTAAAACACAATCGTGCACTATTACTCTCCTGCCCACCATACTGGGAAATGTGAACTCTTACTTAACACTTTTCTATACCATTCTCATTACCAAAGGTCTCAGAACAATCTTACAATAAAACAAAGTAAAGCACAGCATTATTTCCTATAAAACCCCAATTAAAATAACAATTTAAACCTTAAAATTCTGGGAAAATAAAAAAGGTATTGGCCTGGCACTGAAAAGAATAAAGTGTAGGCACCAGGCAAACCATTCTTGGAAGCATGTTCCATAATCTCCTTCAAAGAGGGCTCCCAAAAAAGGACCTCCAACCCAGATATGAAGGGGTGGGCAGGCACATAGGGAAGGACATCTGACATCTGTTTCTGATGTCTGAACTTGAGAATGCCACATAGCAAAGTTTCATATACCAGGGAACACACACACACAAAAACCAGATTCAGAAGTAATATTTTTTTAACGTCATTCAGTTCATTGAACAAACCAAAAACATACGACCTATGGGATGTTGTTTTTAATATAAATACTACAACTTTTGATACAAATAAGGGGAAAGATCTTGATTGGTAATTTGCTGTTGCTCATCTCCTCAAAACTTCTTATTTCTTCTCAATGTAGCATGGGTATCATGCTGCACTGAATTCAAAATAAAAGGAAGCAAATTTTCTTCCTTATTCTTGAGACACTTTATATCCCTACACATAAAGCCTAAATCTTACATTCCAATTGGCCTTCCTGGCATGAATACAAAGAGGAAGAAAGAGCACACTGCTATGTATTCTTAGAATTCTTTGTTTGAGGTCAGCACAACTTTTAATGGCAATCTAATCATGCGATCATTCTTTCATTACTAGTTATTAAACATTCTTACTGTTAGCAGAATAATACTTGGTGGTTTCATAGGATACTCTGGAGGTAGTACTATTCTTCCATGATAAACTCCTCCATCAAAATCTGAATCTGGTGGACCTCTGACAGTGAAATGCCACTCAAAAAGGTTGTCCTACAAAAATACCAAAAAATAAATCTCTTAATATAACAATCACCAACTAGTCCTACTCAAAAGCACATCTAAGTAAGCATGGAATCAAATAACATGTCTCTCAAATACTGCGACTAGAGTTGGACAGGGAGAGATTTGGCATGCAAACAAATCTATTTGACACCTGGTACATGTATTAAATAAATGTTTGAGCTGGTAATTTAACTTCACTGGGAGAATTTAACAGCAATATTTAAAATTAAAGCAAACTAGACTTTGCAGAGTATCTTTACACTAACCAAAACAGCAACCACACAGCTGTCTCTATAAGCACACACAGAAGTATTATTTATTGATTTATTTTCAAAGTTTCCCTTCTTTTATATTGTTATTTATTTTATATTGTTAGTTTTATATTGCTATTTTTGTATTATATTTTATGTTGTGAGCCGCCCCAAGGCTTCGGCGAATGGGGCGGCATAGAAATGTTTTAATAAATAAATAAATATATTTTAAAATCTATTAAACACAGCTCAGCTGACTCTAGTCAAGCAACTACTTTAATGCAATCCAGTAAACCCTTTGCAGCTTGCTCTAGTGTTTCAACACTTTTTCGTGCCAAATCAAAATACAATAAATTAAGGCAAGGACTTTGTTAATGAATTTGTCAGTTCTCCAAGAGTGCTTTTTTAAAACTTGATCCACACTTTTCTTGCTTTGAGACTGAGCCATAGAGAAGGGAATGCAGTGAAATCTCCTTGGTTAGTTGCATTTCAGAATCTGCTGGATAATCCTATAGCTGCTTTATGAAAGACTAGAAGTAGGGATTTGTGATGCAGGAAAATGTGTTTCGTTTGAGTCCTACAAACTTCCTCAGTGTTTCTGATCCAGCAATCAGAAATGGACCACACTGAATTTTATTTTAAAGTTCCAGAAATGTGCATGGAATAGCAGTATACCTTGAGAATGGAGTATTTGCATATTTGGAGCTCAATGTTTTTAATTTGCATAAATGGCTTTGCTTTGTTTAAAATTTTAATCACATTTTCATATTACTTTACAGTTAGGTAATCCAGGCTCAGCATATACTCTTGGTAAAGATCCTTGTCCATCTCTTCCTCTCATCCTCATGAGCTCCCCATATAGCATATGACATAAAGAACTTGTTTTTGTCAATTTCATCTAACCACTACAGATTTCTTCTAGAGTTACACAGTTTGCACACATCAAATGGACAATTTTTTCATTATTATTTTTAGTTATTTGTCAGCTCCCATGATTTGTGCAAATGGTATGATGGATTTTTAGTCTTTTTCCCACCCACAATTGGCACAAATTTCCTGAGCTTAAGAACCAACCCAGTGTAAAAGCAGAAACCCATGTACTGTCTTATTTGCATCAGGGTAAGCTAGTGCTAGCATGGGAGAAATGACATGAAATCTGGAAGGCCAAGTCTGGAACATTCTTCAGATTTTCACTCCTGCAAATGGGCATCCCTAATTATGAGTATATTGAAAGTTTAGCCAAGATTGCCTATGGTCATTTTTCAAATATAAAAGTCACTTTATGAATGACTGCAAGTCAAGTATTATACCTCCATCTTCTTCGGAACAAGTCCTAAGAGAATTGTGCTGTAGTTAACTCTGGCTCAAATCAAAAAAAAGAAGGAAACAGAAGAGCAGGCGTGAATGCTCAGCCTCTGCAAATCCATGCATTATTCTGATATAAATACAAGTCAGTTTGGGCAAAAATATTCTTTGTTCTGTCCGTTACAGATCTAGGAATGGGGAAAGCTCCTCTGCGGCCTTGGCAATGATTTTCCTCGATGTTCCTTTGTACTCTCTTGAAGTAACATAATTTTAAACATAAAACAAATGCCCAATCTTTTCTTCCGCATTCAGGAATGTGTGTGTGCACATGTGTATGTGGGCACATGCATGCTTTTAAGTTCTTATTTCAGAACAGCTGAGCAATTTTCAACCTGAATTTTTAATTTGTGAGGATTGGCAGTTTAAGTCCCACCAAACATTGTGGCCTACAACTCCCATCATACCAATGGTGAGCTGTAGGCCAAAAGTCTGAAGGGGCACAAGTTACTAATACCTATTTTAAGGTGGTGTGCAGAAAGGGTTAAGTATGATTTAAATTTGTGTATGGCAGATGTTTGTGAACTAATTTGCAAAGCTGACTTAAAATCATATTATCAATATGCTACAAGGGTTATGCCACATAGTCATAAGTTAAATGTGGACAAGAAGTTATATTAACATGTCTGTGGGTACATAACTGTTGTAGATTTATTTGGATACACACTAACCTCTAAGGGCTGTGCATGATAATGGTCTGTTGGATCCTTTAGTTCAGCAGCTTCTTTCATTAAACGTTTCACAGCTAAAAGAAAAAAAAATACAGCACATCAGTAAGAGGGATCTTATGGCTGAACACATCTATACCTCTCCCTAAATGATGCATTATTTTTAAAGTTTTTCAGATGCGCTGAAAAGGTGTCTTTCCAAATGTTCTATTAAACAGCTAAATTGTCACAAATTATATTAATATATTTATTAATATGGTCATCAAAGGGGAACAAGAAGGCCAGTGTCATGAAGACCAAAGGCAGACCTGAATAGAAAAACTGAAGTAAAGTGAAGGTTTCAATTATTTCAGCAAATGTATCCAGACTTTTCTATAGGCATTTCGAGAGGAATTTTTTTTTGAATACATGATGTTTCCAAGTATATTTCTAAACCGGAAGTATATTACATATCCAGCATGGAGTAGTGGAAAGATGAAATGACTTCATGACCCATTCAAAGATGTTTTTGAATGTACTTCAGGAAAATCTGTGCGTCAGTAGGTCATTAATTTCCCATTCTGGTTTCATCCCTTGTGCTACAAGTACAACCACAGCAAGTGAAGCTCCTAACAATCTCTGGCTTCCAATAGCAGATTTCCAGTAGAGCTGGGAATAGGACTGGATAGGCGGCTTGAAAAGTTCTGGTGTAAGCATGGAATTCCATACTACTTTCTATGGATTCCAGCTGTAATTATTCTTTTTCTTGATGCTAATTTATGTCCTGTTTAAAACCTGCTTAAGTTTTGCTGATTTAAGATGCTCTTTCCCTAGTTTTGAAAGTATATATAATACTACCTGAAATGGCTCATGTAAGTAAGTAGAATTAATTTATTCATATTAAAAGAGACTTGACACTAGGTAGCACAACTGTTCCTACAAGTGCAGAAGGTGTTTTTGAGTGGCACAGACCAGTGGACTTGCTTTTCACAATATATGCAAACAGGCCTACTAATTTTACAGTGCCAGTTTTGAGTTGTTCTTTACTTAGACTAAGCCATTATATAAGAGACACTCAAACAAAAGACAACACACACACACACACATACTCCTCTGGAAACAAAATTTTGGCAGATGTACTTATTTCATTGGATATCTTGAACTAGACATACATTCAGTTTGCAGGTGAACTCAACAATGGCTATATCAAAATGATTTAATCACCACCTTATGCATTTGGAGCAATACCTATGCCTATCATGCCAAAATAATATCCATACTGGGAAGGCGAAGCAGCAGCAATACTGCTGGTCTTCCGGCGGAGTCCATGTCATTCTTACCACTCAGATTTAACCAAGGAGCTTGCTGGAGAAGTGCTATAGCAGGATCCTCAACTGAAGCATTGACTGAAGGTGCTCCAGCTGGTGCTTTGGCTGATTATGTCAGGGTGAAGAGGGCTACCCCTGATGTCACAGAAATGCCCCTGCTCCAATGTCATCTGGGACATCAGTGATGTGGGGAGTCAGAGGATTCCCCCCCCCCCCGGTTACAGTAGCTCTGAAGACAATTCCAGGTGTATGTCTGGTCCCCACATCTGTAGAACTCTAGCTATACTTGTAATGTGTCAAGGGCAGTGAAGAATCAGTAAACTCTATGTTCCAGTAGAGCAAAGCCATGAAAAAGGTTGCTCAAAAGTCATTTGATACTATGCCAAGGTCAAGCTCTCTTTCCCTCTCTTTGCTTATCAGAGCCTTTAAAAATTGTCTCAAAGAACTTGCTTTTTTCCTTCAAAATCATGTCAGGACACCTTGTTTTTCTAACCCTAACCCTACCTCTACCCTGGTGCACACCCCTAACCCAAATATAGGGGTAAAATACCATTGAAAATAATGCAATTTTGAAAAAGCCTTCCTTGAGTAGCTTGTTCTGCACAGCTCATCATTTCTGCCCATTCTAAACACATTCCAACCATCAAAATCATACCAGAACACCTCATTTTTCTAACCCTAACCCAGTGATGGTGAACCTTTTAGAGACCAAATGCCCAAACTGCAACCCCAAACCCACTTAATTATCGCAAAGTGCCAACACGGGAATAAAACCTGAAAATTGAGGTTTTAGTTTAGAAAAAAGAACTCACAGCCAGTCCAAGCAAATATATATCCTTGGCAGTGCACTGACCAGCCATGAGAAAGCTTGGACAAGTCACGGCTCGTGAGGTCATCACCTGGCACCTCTACTCCTTTCCGAGCATGTGCATGGTCCCTATATGCACTGTGATCTGACGCTTGGCTGCTGGGGCGATGCTGGGGGGACTTGGCTCGCGTGCTGACAGAGGGCTCTGCACACAAGGTTTGCCACCACTACTCTAGAGTAACATCAGCCACTGCACCACAAATACAGACAGATGGATATAAGCTTCTTTGATTATTTTAAGCTACCCAAGAAACCATCGTATTAAGCATGATACAAGTATTTAAATGTTATGCCATTGGTGAACATGTACAGCAGGACTCCCGTATCTGCTAGTTAGCACAGTTTCACTTAACCAAGTTTCACCATTGGCTCTCCATATTCACAGGCATGAAAGGATGAAGGACCCCCATAAAAGCTGAAAAACTGCAAATATTTCTAAGAAAAAATGGTGACTATAGTGAATTATGCATTCTGTTTGGGGATACCACGCTCTTTGTCTTGGTACTAGGTAGCCTCATTTTGGGGAAAGGCTGGAGCTTCAAGAAGAACTTCCTGCCAGTACACACTGCTCAGCTGTTTATCAGACTGGTGCAGAAGATGGTAGGCTTTACTTTATTAAGAGGTCTTTAAGCAGCAGTTGCATAGTTATTATGGGGTACTGACAGATAAGCTCTGAAGTCACCTCTGAGGTCTTTACTTAACTCCACATTCTCCTATAATATGCAAAATACAAAATTTTAGAAGCAAAATACAATTACAGTTTCAGTTTTGTCTCTCAGAGGGGAAAGACTCTAGAAAGTCTTTGCAGTTTTTCCCTAGGGATATTAACAGTTTTCCCTAGAGATATTTGCAGTTTTTCCCCTTTTGTGGGTATCCTACACCCTTAATCCCTGTAAATGTAGTGTTTGCCACTATCTATGGTTTCCGGTATCTGCTGGGGTGCTTGGAACCTATCCCCCTCAAGTATGGGGGGTCCTGATGTATTGATTATAATAAGCATTGTTAGTACAAGGAAGGGCTCAAAATTAAGAGGTCAGAATAACTCTACTAAGCTATGTCATCCCATTCATCTATCACAAGATAGCTAATAAGTAATTATGTTACCTTAAGTGAAAACAAAAACAGGCCTAAATCTGACATGAATACACAAACCTTAAAAATCTATTTTCACCAGGCAGAAGGAAGATACAAAAAATCCATTGTGGATCTGACTCCATTACAGTCATTCACCTGAGCAGTCATGAAGAAGGAAATGCATTTTGGTAAACTGGAGAGAACACACAAGAAGAAAGCAATAAAGAAGGGGTTGTGCAGATTTAATTATCTAATTATTTAATTAGCTATCTATGACTTCAGCTAATGATCTAGTTCAGCTTTTCCCAACTGGTGCCTTCTATGTAGTTGCCATGGATCCCTTCCTGTTCAGAAAGTTGGGCTGATGTTTCAGCTGGGCTGATGAGAATTATTTATTATATTTTCTAAACTTATATTCCATTAAATTGGCCTGAAGGCCCTGTCCAAAACATCTGAAGACCACCAGGTTGGAGGTCAATCAAGTTTCTTTCTTGTTGTCCATTCCTTCCCCTTTCACCTTATGTATTCTTCTATTTTCGGCTAGATGTCAGGGAATCTTGGTTAGCAGCCACAAGAATGCACACTCGGATCCACAGGGAGACACCTTCGCCTAAAACTTCAGCAGTTGTATTGGTGAGAACAACGCAGGTAAACCCCTTGGTAGAGTACAACCCTACAGCAACACTGCTGCAAAGAGGTCCACCAACCAACTACAAGTTCCAGAACATATACAGAGTGTTTTATAGATTTTAAGTCAAGTGCACAAATAATATGTATTCATAGACAAAACAATGTGAAGACAGCCAGACATGACATAATGGTATAGTAAATATCAGTGATTACAGAGTATTGATATGGCACAGAGAAAGGTACATGAATCATAATAGGATTGGGTGTGGGTATTGACATGCAAGAAAACTAGACAGGGCAGTTTGCTGCTGCTCAGGAGCTTCACAGAACAAAAAGCCTCAAGGCAGTGAAATGCTAACAATGTAACAAGCTTAACTTTGCACCTAAATGTAGCAGCCACCTCAGGGAAGCAGAGAGTCTCAATCTCTTAAAGAAACAGATGACTAATAAAGCTTTAGGGAAACAAAGGAGCCTGGCTTGGAATTCTGGTTCTTTCTGGGCAAGAGCAGCAGAGACACTGAAGGTCTGATTTTATATCACAAAAGTACAAATAAGCAATCTTTCTCTATAAAGATTTATTTTGATTCTCCCAACAATATTTAAGGATCTTTTTAAAAGAATGTATTTTAAGAGTTTGTCTCATCAGCTATGGAACAGCATGAAGTATTTCAGAGGGTTTTTTTTTTTAAAAATCAAGATCAGGAGGAATCATAAGCACTGTTTTAAGAACGCCCAATAGCCTAGACACACATGTGTGATATATATATTCTCTCTTTGAACACCTGTCTTCATGCCATGTAACATTATGTTTGCGAGAGTACCCTGTTTCAGAAGTGGTTTGCAATGTGGCATGGGGAAGAATAATGGAAAAAAACAGGTTCAAACCTTGCTAGATTTTTAGGGCCCTAGCCATTGTCTGTCTCAACTTGTTTTTAAGCAAGATGATGAAACAATTCAGCAAAATCATGTATACATATGTAAAAGTGTAAACTGATTGTTTTTAGCCCAATATTATTTTACTTTTAATTGTTGGTTGGAACAAACTCAAATACAGTATGAAATACCTAATGTGTATATTTTACTAGAGGCAAAGTATCAATGGAGGGAGTTTCTTTGGAAAAATAAAACCACAGCATATCACAAATCACTACATGAGTCTCTTCAGAGGCAGAAAACACAAATAGAGACAAAACACAGTCCTTATATTAGCAAAGGTGAAGCTTAATTTTAGTAGTAGTGAGATGTCAAATCAATAAAAAGAGAAATTATGTGTGAAGAAGATGCAGGAATGTTATCAGGTGACAGAAAGAAGGCAAAACTGCTCTACTGCTAGTTTGCCTCAGTCTTCTCTCACAAAAGAAACTATGTTTGCATTTGGCCCTTTTCTTACTCAGAAAAAAGGGTGACAGCTAAAGGAACGTTTATCTATAATAGCCTCTATCTATAAATTTGGACATTTCTTGAAAAACAGGGGAAGTGCCATGTAAGTGGAAGTGGGAGAATGTTTTCCCCATTTTCAACAGGGAGGGAGGGAGGGAAAGGGATCCAGGAAACTACTGACCAATATGTCTGAAGGAAGGCCACAAAAATGTTGAGGATCCTAGAGACCGAGTTCTATTAGAGTTTTATGAATGAAAGACTCGGTTATGTTTAGCTCAGAGAACATATGATTATGAGGCAATATGATTATCTGACGGTCAGTTGAATAGATGATGGAGCTAATTCATTTTTGTTGTTTTAGAGAAGACTTCTCCAAGCTGGCAACCTCCACCTGTTTTGAACTACAGCTTTTTATCAAGTCCAGCCAGTGTGGTCAATGGTCTGGAATAGCACAGAACTATAATCCGAAACATATAGAGAGCAGCCAGTTCTCTAGAGGACACCAGCTGAGACAATGGGTAAAATTAATAAGATGATTTAAATTGAACTAGCCTTCCCCAGCCTTAAGCCCCCCAAATGTTTTGAACTGACAATGCTGGAAATTATGGAAATTGGTATCTAGCTTGGGGAAAGGCTGGAGCTTCAAGAAGAACTTCCTGCCAGTACACACTGCTCAGCTGTTTATCAGACTGGTGCAGAAGATGGTAGGCTTTACTTTATTAAGAGGTCTTTAAGCAGCAGTTGCATAGTTATTATGGGGTACTGACAGATAAGCTCTGAAGTCACCTCTGAGGTCTTTACTTAACTCCACATTCTCCTATAATATGCAAAATACAAAATTTTAGAAGCAAAATACAATTACAGTTTCAGTTGAATTTCAAATACAATTTTTACATACATTTATACAGATACTTCCAGTACTGAGCAGCCACAGCAAACACATAAGCACTTTCTGCCAAAAGTCCAACTTTTATTTTTACATGCTCTAAACAAATGTTTTGGTCATGACTGCTGTAACAAATTTAAGTATTCTCTGACAAATGCTGGAAGATGGATTAAGAACTGTCAGGTGTGTGCAACTACAGACTTTCTTGCAACCTGGCACTGAAATTAAGCTAAGGGCTTATTCACATGCTTTTGTAGGTCCACTGTAACAGCATAATTTTTCTAGCTTTCATTCATACTGAGCTGATTTATCATTGCCCCTGTTCAGAAGGTCATGTAAAATCTGACAGCTGCTGCTGGGAGGTTGCTAAATTCACTCTATATTAACAATTTGCAAGCAGGTGCAACTTCACCTAACAATTGCAGCTGTGGCTGAATACAAAAGGTAATCATGGCTGAGCTCAGCAGCAGTTTTCACATGACCTGTGGCAGAGCAAGCAAAGACAGCCCATACTAACCGAGGCTCAGTTATCACAGACTTAAATGCCTTGCTAACCAAACTACATGTGATGCTTAGTCACATGTGGTTTGTCCCCAGTGTTCCCTTTGATTACAGTCATGAAGGCCACAATCAAAAGGAAAAGACCAGTGGAGGGTTAGGGAGAATGTGTGTAACCCTCTCTCCAGCATGTGTTCTGCTCATAATTATCCCCCATCCAGAGAGAGAAGCACCCAGACATGTTGGCCAAAGCATAGCAGATCAAAGTTTCAAAATGAGGCATCACATCCAAATTGCGATTGGTAGGGTCTATTCTTTAGAGCTGCAGGAGTCGCACTATATCTATTACATAATATTCTGGGAGATGCCAAATTCACATGATCACATGGAATTGAAAGTGTAACCTCTGGCACTTTGTTCGTGTGATTATTTCATCAAGTTCCCAGCTCTTGATGCTTCCCACTTACTGTACTCACCTGGCTTGCAACTGCACCTCATTGGCAAGTCACAAGCCAACTGCATTAAATACATGTGTGAGCATACACCTACACTTCTTCATTTCAGTATGTACCAAAGGATGGACAGATCTATCTACCTGTGTACCAAGTTCATCCTGTGACCTGTTAATGAGATATTGCAAAGTTCCTTTGTTTGCTTGAAAGTAGTCTTTAAAAGGGAGGGGAAAAAAACCACGCTGAAGCTATACTGTCAATCATATGGGGGGGGGAGTCAGGAGGAAGCCTTGAATAAAAATAGCTGCAGATTATAGAGCAACAGAACATCAGCTGAGATGCGGCAGGCCAGAGGCAAGCCTGTCCCCGTTTCTCAGCTGACTCTGAGTAAATGAAATGTCCTCTCCTAACCCACACCAGTCTGACTCGAGCGCTCTGTGCCCTCCAGCTCGTCATCGTCTTAGGGAGGTGCAGTAGGAAGTTAACAGGAATGACGCTCGTACCACCGCTTTGGGTCCGTCCCAGAGGAGAAGCAGGAGAGCGGAGCATCCTCTGACGAATAACAACAGTAGTGCTTTTCCTGCCACACGCCCCCTGGCAAAGGTCGCGGGGGGCGACGGGCGTCCGGGAGGAGCGCCGCCGGTTCCGGCCTAGGCAGCCACCAAACCACGGGCTTGCGTGACGGCGCACCCCGCTCCGCCAATCCGAGGGCAGCCAGAGGGCTCCACGACCGAGGCGTTCGCACAAAAGGCTCCCGTCTCCCCGCCCGCCCCTCCTTCCTTCCCGACTCACCCGGGCTTTTGAGGTTGTAGCGCGCCTCCATGGCGGAGCCGGGAGAGCCTCTTCCCTTCGGCGCCCCCGTCGACGCTCTGCTCCCGGGGCAGGTCGGCGGCGCGCTCCAGGCCAGCCACGTCAGGCGCTTCCCCCAACCCGGCGACCACCCACAACAACGCCGGCGGCGCGGCAGCGGCGAGGCGAGGCGAGACGGCGCAAGGGGCGGAGGGGGAGGCGGCCAACGCGGCGTCCGGCTTTCGTTTCTCTTTCGCAGCGGCTGGGAAGTTCCCTCGACGTGGCGCGGCTCCGGGTGCGCGAGTCAGAAAGGAAGCGCCGCCGCGCCTCCCCTTTCCAAGGAAGAGCGGTAGGCAGCCCGCGAGATGCCGCCCGCCTCACCCTCCGGTTGCCAGCCGGGGCGAACTCCTCCTCCTCCGCCTCCTCATTTCTGACACGCACTTTCTGGCCCGCACTGACATTCCCCGCTCGCAGCACTGCGCTACTTAAGCACCTCCGCTAGAGCCGTGAGCACGCTGTGGTGTAACACGGGGACATGGGGGAAGAGAGCGAGAAATGCAGCTACGCTTTTATTCCGCTTATGTCGAGATATCTTGGCTTCTGAGGCAGAAGATTGGGATGGCTCTGACCCACTCATTGTCTAGCAAATATATATATATATAAATAAAAAAAACTCGATGTGTGGCCCTCCAGGCTGATTGTTTTACCCCATGGCAAAATCGTATATCCTGATTTTAAGGCAGAGTAGCTTAAGCCTTTAAGGCAAGCCTATACCCTTCTCCATTGACGTCAACGGGAATTACTCTTGAGTATACATGCAGAAATAAGAGGAAATGCGTTGCCAAAACATGACACAGTATATGGATTTGCCTATGCTATTTAAATCTATATGTGTAAGTGCAGAAGTTACTATAGCAATTTAAATAGAAATGCATTTCATCATCTCCTGTGACTTATGTGCCTGCTTGGTTTGGTGGGAAACTAAACTCTTGATGGGCAACTTAAGGCTCCTGCTTCCTTTCCTGATAGTTCTTCTAAAGCTAGAGGCGGACTGGACAGCCCTTTCAATAAAGGATGCTTTCAACCAGTGGACTATAATCTGTAAAGTAGGATACTGGGATAGATGCTATACCACAAGTACAGACCGAGTCCTTGCATTCCTTTTATGTATTATAGAACAAATATTATCACAGTCACAATAATTAATAGCAATGGCGGGTGGTACCCATTAGAGCAGAGTAGCTAAAACTAGCAAATTTTTCTGATGGTCAGTCTTTGAATTTTGTTACTCTTCATGAATTCTTTTAAAGCCATCAGACTTCTTGTCCATGACTTTATCATGTGGCAGCAAATTCAACTGTTTGTTTTTCTATATGATATAAAGTAGTACATGGAGTCTGAGTTACAAATGTCTGAGTTATGAATGACCTGCACTTAGGAATGAACTGCCGTAAAGCTTATCTGGAGTATCTCCTTCCCAATGTGCCTGCCCACCCCTCAAGATCTGGCTTGGGGGTCCTTCTTTGGGAGCCCTCTTTGAAGATTAGGAGAGTAGCTACCTGGAGAAGGGCCTTCTCCATGGTGGTGCCCTGGTTGTGGAACATGCTCCCCAGAAAGCTGCTGCTTGTTTCGACCTGGTTTATTCTTTTTGGCACAAGGCCAAAACCCTTTTTCTTTTCCCATTATTTTAAGACCTAATTTCTATTTTAATTAGAAATTTTATTATGGATGTAATGCTGTGCTTTTGTTGTTGGACCATCCTGAGGCTTTTATGTATAGAACAGTACAGAAATGTTTTAGATAAATAAAATATTAATGCTTTAAAATTACTACAGAAAATCATCATCACTATAGAGAGGAAGTGAAAGAAGAGAGAGGGGAGGCCTCCAAAGCATCACAATAGAGAGAAGCATAGAGAGGGAGGGAGATGGGAGATGCAGGGATATCTCTTGTTTAAGCAGCTATGGAGAAGGTAAGCAATAGCAGAAGTCTCTCCTGCTCAGAAGAGATCCCTGCTATATTTCTTCCTTGCTTAAAAACTACAGTGCTGCTAAAGGCCTTTCCAGAGCTGCTCAAAGCACATAATGAAATGGCATGTGGGTGGTTCCAAATGCAATAAAATGCTTGCATGGATACTGTTTCTGTGCATGAGAGTAAGATATGTACATGGATGGCCACTAAAGGAGAGCAACAGATATTTATAGATCCCAGATAGACTGAAATGAGCTAAGCAATAAAAAATTACAATCAAAAGAAGGATACACAAAGTTTGGCGGTGGTGATGGCCTAGTACAAGCTCTAATGGGATTGTTTTTATTCAAACCAGAGCTGCAGACCAGGCTCAGAGGCAAAATCTACAAGGGTCTGCAGATGACCAAGCCCATGTCCTCTTTCCCATGGCTCCAACCCCTTCCCTCTGGC